TAGGTGACATTTGGTTTTTTGTTTGATGGGGGGAAGTAGTTTAGACTTGAACTTGACTTTTGCAAGGTTATTTTATGGCCTGCTTATCCTACCCAGTTTCAGGTAGTGACAGTAGGACAGCTGAGGCAGTCATTAGTGCACAAGGAGTACTTTTAACCTACAAATAGTATCTAAATTAACTGATAATGGGCAGTGTGAATTATGGAGGAGAAAAGTTGGAAAATGAGTCAGTCTGCCTAATTTTGTAGATGTAGAAGCAAGGTAGTAACGAATTGTTGGCTTGTTCAAGATCAGTTTGTGAACTGGATTTTAGGTTCAGGTTCAGGTTCAGGCCATAGTCTGTTAGGACGGTGGTTCATACCTAGGGAGGAATATTAGATCACTGGTTGTCCCCACCCCCCTCGCTGAAGTACATATGTAGAGATACAGATACATGTGTGTGCGCATGCATGTGTGTGCATGTGTTTATATGCATAGTCCCCAAATGTGCTTTTCATGCACCCCTTCCCAGGACATAGGAAATCGTATTCAGGTGTATGTGTAAAACCGGGCAGTTCTGATGCACGTTATTGGCAAAGAACCAAAGTATAAGCCCTGCAGGCAAACCTTTTATGCCTTGTTTTTTTTTTTTTTGAAAATGGCAATTTATTAAGTATTTGGAGTTATTTTGATAGAATAGGCCTCTGGATAGAGATTTAAAGTCTTAGAAAGTTTGAAAGTGGGAAATACCGTTAAAAATTAATGCATATAAGCTTTTTGCTGTCTCTTTTTAGAACTGCACCTTTAAAGTCAGGATGTAAACTTGAGAATATAAAAACATTTAACTTGATTCACGTGTAGAAGTACCACGTCACTGAACTTAGAGACTGATCACAGAGTCAGCTTGAGGGGGATGGGGAAAGTACTAGAGTTTTCCCATGGGCAGTTTTCTCTCACCTGTGAAACTGCCAGTCAAGTGACAGTCTAGGTCTACAAACGTATCATAAAATTTATTCACCTTTAAAAATGAGTGGTACAGCTTTTTAAAAAATAAAATACCCATGAGCTTGCCGTTTCTCTAGACACCCGTGTTGTTTTCCCTCCCTTCTGTGCTGTAACTTCCTCTCACAGAAACCCTCACCCTCTCTTGCAGTGAGTACTCCAGGCAGCCGCTGCTCCTTGATGAGCTGGAGCCGGCACAGTAGGGCGTGCCGCTGCTGCTGCGGGCGGCAGGCGTGTTCCGCGCAGGTGCCCTTGAAGGGGTTTTCCGTTGCCTCAGTGGACTTTGTTTTTGGATATTGAAAGTAATTGTGGTTTTTAACATGAATTTAATGGATGCTAATTCACAGGACCCATTCTTAACAAAACAAACAAAAGGCAGCTAGCCATACTGCTGGAATTAGGACATTGTTTTAGACAGGGGATGACAGACCACACAACTTATGGGCCAAATGTGGCCTGTAGCTAGGAGTGGTTTTTACATTTTTAAATGATTGAAAAAATCTAAAAAAGAATAATATTTTGTGAGATGTGAAAATTGCATAAAATTTAGTTTTTAGTGTCCATAAATAAAGTTTTATTGGAACACAACCACGTTCATTCATTTACTGTCTATGGATGCTTTTGTGCTTCATGAGCAGAGTTGAGTAGTTGCGACAGACCATATGGCCTGCAAAGCCTAAAATACTTACTGTCTGGACCTCAGCAGAAAAAGTTTGCCATCCCTTTTTAAGATAACAGTGTGGGAGGTAAATGATTGCTTTTGGAGTTTTTGGTAAAGGAGGAAAGTTAGTTTGCTCTTATTTTGAACAAGTTTCTGAAAAGAAATGCTTAGAAATGGCTATTGTTTGTCTACAGATCAGTAGTAGTAGCAGCAGTCTTTCTTTCAGAGAATACAGCTGACATACTTACTAGCATAGGCTGCAGTGTGTTAGTCCGTGTCCTCTTTCCCTCCTTGGGGGAGGTCCCTGGCACCATCACTGCCCACGGATACCGGTGACTTAGCAGTTACATCTTGCTGACCGTACATGATAGAGTGGTTGTGTTCAAACTTTCTGGTCTCAGGACTTCCCTAGGCTCTTAAAAATTAATCCCCAAAGAGCTTTTTTCTCCTTTTTTAAAAAATGCAGACTATATATATGTTAATATTTTTCATATTAGAAATGAAGACAGGAAATTTAAAATGTTAATTTGTTTACAATAGCAATAATAAATCCATTCTAAGTTAACAAGAGATCTTTATGAAAAATATTTTCCAAATAAAAAAGAAATCAGTGAAATTTTTACAGATTTCTTTCATGGTTGTTTCATTAGAAAACAACTGAATTCTTCTGTTTCTCCATTCAGTTTGTTGTGATACATTATTTTGGTTGAAGTATATGAACTAAGTCTGGCCATGCATGGATATATACTGTAGTTAGAAGAAAGGTAATACTTTAGTATGTAGCTAATTTCAGTGTTTGTGGGTGTTTTTCTTTGATACCATAACAACTCAAAAGGTGGTAGCTTTTCTATTTCTAAAATCAGAATTATTAAAATATAATTTATATAGAAGAAAATATATCTTTAGCAGTACATAGAGTTTCAGTTAATATTTCTGACCTGTGTATAGCGGTTATATGACATCATCACCCATCATAATTAAGGTGTGGAACATTTTCGTCATCCCGTGTCCTCCTGGAGCCCCTTTGGTTTTTTTGAGACAGGTTCTCACTATATGGTTCAGGCCAGCCTTGAACTCATGGTGATCCTCCTGCCTCGGCCTCCTAAGTTCTGGGATTCCAGGCTTGCGCCGCTGTGCCCAGCCCCGTGTCCTTTTATCACCCTTCGCGCTGGCACTTCTGATCTGATCTCTGCCCCCATGTAATTTTGCCTTCTCCACAGTACTGTGTAAGTGGAGCCACATAGTAATAGCCTTTGAGTCCCTCTTTACTTAGCATAACAAGTGTGAGACTCATCCCTGCAGATGCAGCTGCCCCTCTTCGTTCCTGAAGTGTGTGCTTATCTGTTAGCCAGTGGTGGACACTGGGTTGTTCTCAGTTTTGGAAATTATAAATAAAGTGACTAAACAATTGTATACAGATTTTTGTATGGACACATTTTCATTTCTTAGGTAAATGCCCACACATGTGACTGCTGGGCAGTATGGCAGGTGTACGTTTAACTCCAAGCTGTCAAATTGTGTTTTCCCAAAGTGGCTGGACAGTAGCATTTCCGCAAATGCGCGAAAGTCCTGGTTGCTCACAGATTTAGCAACACTTACCGTTACCAACTGTTTTTATTTGCTTTGCTTTTGCTGTTGTAATTGATAGTTTACTTCTCCCTAATGATTGATGATTTTGACTAACTCTTCGTGTAGAATTTTTCTACACAAGTCTCTTCTTTGGCAAAGCATCTAATTGAATGTTTTGCCCATTTAAAAAATTTGAAAAAAAGTTTGACAGACTGTTTTCTTATTATTGAGTTGTAGGAGCTCTTTCTCTGCTCTGAATATGAGTCTTCTTTTGTGCTTTTGAGACAAGATCTCTGAAGCCGTCCACTGCTGGGCTGGAGAGATCTTCCTGCCTTAGCCTCCCCACTAGTTGAGGCTGCGTGTGCAGTATCATGGTCGGCTTCAGCCCTTCTTTAGACACGCATTTTTGCAAGTATTTTTTTCCGTTCTGTGTTACCCCTCCCCACAATTGTCACAGAGTATAAATTTTAATTTAATGAGGTTCAGTTTATCTGCTCTTTCTTTTGTAGTTCATGTGTTTTGTGTTCAAAGAAATCTTTCCTAATTCAGTGTCAAAATGATTTGTCATGTTTTCTTTTGGAAGTTTGATAGTTTTGGGTTGTATTTTTAGGTCTATGGTATATTTAGAGTTAATTTTGTTGAACTCCTTTTTATTTGCATGAGAATATTGTTCAGCATCAATCTCTGCCTTCCTTAGTGAATTGCTTTGGCATCTTTGCTGTAGATCAGTTGACCATACAATGTATAGGTCTATTTCTGAATTTTCTATTTTGTCTCATTGCTGCTTGTGTCTGTCTTTTCACTAAGACCTCACTGCTTTTGTAGCTAAGGTTCTATGTTCAGCCTTAAAAATCAAGAAGCAGGAGTTCTTCTTTGGGCCTCTTTTTAAGAATTATTCTGACTAACTTTGCCTTTCCAAGTAAGACTACAGATAATTTCTTAAAACTTAGTTGCAGTGTAGAATTTGATGCATAATGAACTTTTTGTCCTGTAGGTTAAAATCTGTTGATCTGTCTTGAACGTAGATTTTTTTTTTTTACCCAAGAATGCTTTTGTAATGTCACATATAATGCGTTTAGAAAATATTGGTTCTGTGAATTACATAGACTTCTTAAATATTGGCATATTTCATTACTCAGTATTTGAAGGGCACTCTGAGTATTGGGAAGGTAGCATGCTACTGGTGGCAGATAGAAGGTTTTCTGAAATTTCTTATTTTTGTCTGAAAACTCAGATTTCATCATTGACAATGTATATTGTCAGTTACTTTGCTCTTCTTCTTTTTTTTTCCAGTTACTTTTCGTGAACTAATGGGCTCACTTGGTTCCCTTTTGAGAATATGTCTTCCAGTCTGAATAGCCATGGTGTGTCTGAAGAGACAGTCCATAGCTACAGTTCGGTCATTTAAGAGTCTTTCTTGAGGCAACCATTGTACTTCATTATGCAACAAAATTATTTGCTTAGTTCTTACTTTGTCACACAGAATATTGAGAAGACCTCTGCTCAAGGATTGAAGTTTCATAAAGTTAACAATTGCTGCTGCTTTTCGTGAAGGATGTTCTTAAATGAAGCAGGCATTGTCCAGAGAAATCTTAAATCTCTGTAGACACTTGAGCTTACTATGATGCTTTCATACTTCACTGCCGGGACTAAGCTGGAAACAGGAGTCCAGAGTTGTAACACTGGGCACACGGTACACTGTTGACACGTAACACCTGACATTGTTGTCTTGGGAGACAGTCTCTTTAGAACTAATAGAGTTACGTTATGTTGTTTTATTGTCTTATAGGCGCTATACTTGGCAGATCCGAAACTCAGGAGTGTCTTTTCTTTAATGCTAATTGGGAAAGAGACAGAACCAATCAAACTGGCGTGGAGCCCTGTTATGGTGACAAAGATAAACGGCGACATTGTTTTGCTACCTGGAAGAATATTTCTGGTTCCATTGAAATAGTGAAACAAGGTTGTTGGCTGGATGATATCAACTGCTATGACAGGTGAGGACGTACTTTATTTATTATGATAGCATTGAGTAATTTACCTCTTCCCCTTCTCCTTTTTGAGAAAAGTTCGATACATGGATTCTCACATAAATGTTTCTTGCCTTTTAAAAAATGGAATTATTAACATTATAACATAATGACAAAGGTAATGTATTTGAAAATAATAAACGTGGCATGATAATGTTTTGTGCTTGATATATTTTGAGGAATCTTTCAAGTAGTGAGAACCCCTAAAAATCATCTCTTTCCCCATGTTGTCAGAGTTACAACTTTTATGTGAATTTGAAGGAAAGAAGATTTTTTTAAAAATTACTTTAAAAGACAGTATGTACTTGAAAAATTTATCCTCAAGGAGAATAAAGCTTAATTGTAGTATTTAATTTCCTCTCAGTTTCCTTCTTTATGTACCTGGAAGAAATTGATCTCATTACTTTTTTCCCTTTTTTTCCTTGCGAAGTAGGCCTTTGTTCTTTACCCCAAGAGACATTTTAACTTGACATTCAGAATATATCAGAACTAACTTAGTCCTTACAGAAAGCTATGTTTTATTTAAAAGATCTTGCTTAAATTGTTCTGCACTGGAAGTAAAATACAGTGGTTATGTTATCGACAGCCCGTGGTCTGTCTGTGAGAAGTCCCATAGATGTTGGGTTGGTACTTAACTTGCCTGGGCCAGAGGGTTTCCACTGCGGGTAGGTGGGGAAGGCTGGCAGAGGTAGCAGAGTCCCAGCTAACCAGACATCTGGGAGTCAGAAAGGGATGCTACACGCACAGACCTGCTTCTTCACGAGCCTGCGATGATCACCTGGAGTCTGTGACTGGTTATCTGTCTATGACTAATAGCGACATGCATTGAATGAGCCCTGAAAATTGAATTAGCTCTACTTTTCAGTGGGAAATGAAAACAAATCATGAAGATACACATTTAGTATTTACTAAATATATACTTTTAAGGCTGTGAATTTTCCAGGGATTATTTCTTTATACATACATGATTTAGTTAGATTGTTGGTTTCTCCACCAACAGAAGTGGCGGTCTAGTGGTAAGTGCTATTAGGCAAGGTAAGTAGGAAGAAATAAGACAAAAATACTTAGCTTGGGAGTCACCTTTGTTCAGAACTGTCTTTTGTTAATGATCTGAAATGAAGGATTCTACTCCTTTTTCTTCCATAGTAAAAAGCTCCTACGTTTCCTCCCCCAAACCAGCGTTGTCCTCAGCGCTGTCCTCGGTAGCGAACCGTTCGCTGACGTCTGCACAGTGCATTCATTGCAAACAAATGTATTTCTGGGGATTAAATGCTCATGTAAAAGTGTGTGGATTTTGTCTGTATGCCCTGAATTTGATTGAAAAACAAATAGTTGGGATAGTAACAGAAGTAAGAGAAAGGAAAAAGTCAAGAAATGTCCAAGTGTGGAAGAAAAGACAGTGATAAAAGCAGAATGAAACCGGATGATGAAAAGTAATTTTCTTGAGTTAATTAGACTGAGTATTTGATCATGTCACTTTCCTGTAATTTGAGGCAGGATTCTAAATATTAGTTTAAGAATCTATACACTTTTCATTATAAATTGTTGAAAGGTAGCTTGCATTTGTCTTTTTACCTTCTGCTAAGTAGGTATTAGTGTTGATTACATTTTAAAATTGGATTTTGTTAAAACTCATTTCCCAGAAATTTCTTATACTTTTCACTTTAAAGTGAAAACAGTATTATTGCAACCACCATCATAAAGGTTCAGCTTATTGTGTGAGGTGTGTCTTTAACTTCACCTGGTGTTTATCAGTAATATTTAAAGTTTGATTTAAAGAAGTAAGTATGGTTGTTTCTTAGTGAGTAAGGTTTGTTCTAGGGGCTGAATCCAAGTCTTCTCAGATTCATTGTCCATACAAAAGGCTGCTTTTTTTTTTTCTTCCAAATTCGTCCTACTTCTAATCAGCTTGAGTTACTAGGTCCTTTATATTTATTATACATTTATTCTCTACTTGTTACTTTTCTGAACTTTGTTCGTTGTATTTAAGAAATTCAAATCTACTACTATAAAAAATGACGTTATTCCCAAGTGTAGTTTGGGTCTTTGATTTTGTGTGTGTGTGTGTGTGTGTGTGTATTTATAAACACAATTTTATATGTAGCTTTTAATATTCATGAAGTAGGAAAGCTGAATTTACTGTGATCAAAAGCACTCCCAGACTAAATTACCTCCATTGCCTTTGTGTATTCTTCTTTAGGCCTTCCTAACAATTAAAAAAAAAAATGGTTGTCTTAGATTGCTTATTAAAAACTACATTAAAGCAGTAGTCTCAGGGAGTTAATGTGATTGTTATAAGGTCAACTTTTTTTTCTGATGAGATTTAGTAACAGGAATAATCTGGGAACATTTCTGGCTTTTAAGAATTGATCATTAAATATTAATAAAAATGTTGAATGCAAATGGTACATTATTTTATCTCTGACAAAAACAGCTACTATATGGTCAGCATGATATTTATTTTAATTATTTCTCCTCTGTTTGTTTATAGGACTGATTGTATAGAAAAAAAAGACAGCCCTGAAGTATATTTTTGTTGCTGTGAAGGCAATATGTGTAATGAAAAATTTTCTTATTTTCCAGAGATGGAAGTCACACAGCGTAAGTTCCCAGGGAAATACATAGGTCATCTTGGCTAGTAGATTGAAAACACAGAATGTTTGTGTTGAAAGAATAATTTAACTCTGTTTCTCACATTTTTCCTAAAAATGTGATACTATAATAACTATTTATTGTAGAATTGTGCGATCTGTGTCTGAATTGTTTTTGCTTCCATTTTTACAGCCACTTCAAATCCAGTCACACCTAAGGCACCGTATTACAACATCCTGCTCTATTCCTTGGTGCCGCTTATGCTGATCGCAGGGGTTGTGATTTGCGCATTTTGGGTGTACAGGCATCACAAGATGGCCTACCCTCCTGTACTCGTTCCAACTCAGGTAAGTTACTGTCCTAAATTTCGCACTGCTTTAGGTCTGACATTTTAAAGAAGTATTGATGTCCTTGAACTCACGAGCTTAACAAATTATTTTCCTTTGGAGTTAATTTTTGCGTATTTATCATAGGGATTATAGCTAATTTTGCAAACTTATTAATTTGCTATGTCCTAATCTTTTCTCAGAGACTGAGGTATATAGTACAATGAGTATTCCCATCCTATTTTTCTCCAGAGTTTTACTTTCATTCTAATACTTTTCAACAGGAGATGAACCGTCTTTGCTTTCTGTGAAATGATAGAGAAGTGAAAACCCTTCCTTTGTTTTCCATCGTATCCTCTATTTTTAAATTTCATGCGTTTTTCAAGACTGCTCTCCACAACATCCTTTTAAACATGAGGATGGGCTCAGGTCATTGAGAGAGTATGGAAAAGAGAGGTTTTAGAGGAGCTTCAGGAGCATATTATCTATCCCGTGTTATTCACAGTGCAAGTGTTTTCTTTTTTGTAGCATATGAGCTGTGTATTGAAAACTAAAAACTTAATGCCTTTGGTGCTCTCACCCCACCCTAAATATTTCTGGAAATAGTTTTCAGTGTAATTAGATTGAATTCACTAAATTTTCCTCCTTCTCTTATGTAGACAATTGGCACTGGTCCATTGCTTTCCAGGCCTTCTCGTGGACGCAGTTAATATTGTGTCGGTCCAGGAAGCTGATCCCTTTCGGTTACACTTGCTTGAGACATCTCTAAATGCTAGTCTTTATGGTGTTTCTTTTACCTCTTAAGATCGGATTACCTTAGCTTTCTGGATCCCTTGGTAGGATTAATGGTTAAAACTTAATAGAAAAAAAGAGTAAAGTCCTATAATTTTATGACCAAAACAACTTCTTTCCTCTAAGCTTTGTTTATATAACACACTTCTTTCTCAGTACTTCTAACAATCTGTTAGCGTTAGATCACTGATCTCCACGATCTTTTGAAGATACATGCATATGGAGAAATAAACCTAAAGGTAAAATAGCTAGTTCAGTAAATTAAAACACAATAGTTTATATTGGTCAGATATTTAACTTTTAAACATTAGTAACTAGTCAAATTTGTTAAAAATAATTTGTAACAGTTTGTTTTGTTTTTGGTACCGGGAATCGAACTCAGGACCTTATGCTTGTCAGGCATGCACTTGTGCCACTGACCTATATCCCCGGCCCTGTAACAGTTTTAAAGTAAAACAAAATTTAATACTTCATGTATATGGTTTATTCCACATGACCATAAGACACACTTTACCTTCAGTCATTGGTAACTTGAAATATTTGTTTTAGAACCTAAATTTAGGAGAGAGTATTCAATACTGTAATTGTTTCATGAATTTATCCTAGATTTGTGATATGTTAGAAATAAGCTGGAACCCACATTTAAATAAATATGCTAAAGTTTTTATAGTAGAAATTTTTAATCAGTAATGTAACTTTACAGATGTAACATTGGCTTGTATCCAATACTGATACAAAAGCATGCTTAGGTAAATAGCCTATGTATGAGGCCACTTTATGGAGAAATGCTGATTAATTCAAGGGTTTAAGGCTTTTTAAAAGGAAAGGTGCTGCTACGGTTCTTAACATGGGATCCTCATGAGCAGCCGTCTCTGTGGGTTTCAGGTTTTGGTTGCTAGTGTTAATCTTACTGAACACAAATTATTTAGCAGTTGCATTGTTGCAGTCGTAAATTTGCACAAACTGCATGAATTCATGAAACACAAGGGGTGAGTGTAAAGATCTTGGGATGGAGTAACCTGCGGTGGGCAGGCTTTATGAACACACACGATGGGTCTGACTTCGTGCTTTCCTTCTGTCATAAAGTGTGTGGGGAAGGGGCACTGCCGTCAGAGTGGAATTTCACTTTTGTCACCCCTCATTGTTTCTATAACAGACCAGTTTCATGCTGGAAGGTCTGGTTTTTGGTAAGAGGTTTATGCAAATTCTAGTTGTACAAGTCTACTTAATAGCTATACTATTGCAAAGGGCTTAGTTTTATCTTTAATTTAAAAAATAATTATATCAAGCATTTACTGCAGATTTAAGTACTTACTCTGAGGTGATGTGTTACGCATAAATACATAAATTATAAAGGGTCTATAGAATGCATTAAATATATAGAAAAAATGTAGTGATTTTTCAGATGATGATGCTGGATCATCTTTGGGATTTAGTATATGTGCTGCCGAAGCGAGCACTCATCTTTGGGATTTAAAAATATGACTTCCTGGGCCATAACCTTTAAAAGGATGCAGTGGAGCCCATGGTCCTGTGTGTGTGTGTGTGTGTGTGTGTGTGTGTGTGTGTGTTGTTTTGTTTTGTTTTTTTTGAGACAGAGTTTTGGTATATAATCCAGGTTGGGCTTGAACTTGCTCAGGCTGGCATTGAACTTGAGATACTCCTGTCCATTTTCTGAGTGCAGGGATTATAGTCTACACCAGCACACCTGGCTGCTACTGTATTTTTAAAGAGTTTCCCAGGTGATTCTGGTAACCAGCCAGGTGTGGAAAGTACTCATTTAATTTTATTTCACTGGACTCTGTATATAGTATAATTCCAATTTTATCGATAAAGAAATTGAGACATAACAAAGCTGCTGCAAAAGCGTCAGCTGGAATCTCAATTTAGAGCCCTGTGACACCAAAGCCTCGTTTTGTGATACTGATTCTGTTCTGCGTCTCTTTTCAGAGAGTGGGTGCTTCTGGTGTTTCAGCTGATTTCACTAACGACTTTGCCATCTCAGAACCATGCTATAGGCTAATTTGTTTTTTCAGATACTGAGTAGTTTGTATAGCTTCTTAAATGAGCAGTAACATCATCTCACATTTAACATCGCATAGGACAAAAGGAAAGTGAAAAGTCATAGATACTTAGGAAAGAATATTTGTATGTTTTCTTTTAAAATACTTCAACATACTTTAGATAGGATTAATGAACAACGTATGATTGGGGGTTTGTAAAAAAAAATTTCTGTGTTTCTCATTTGATTCTGCTGGTGCCTATCAGTTGTTAAAGATTTGTATTGAAGGATAGGAGTAGCAGTTGAGTACTACTAGGAGAGAGATACTGTGCAGTTAAACTCTTAAGGTTACTGTATATTCATGTCCCCGTATTCCAAGTTTAATTTCAAGACCAGTTAGGAAGAGATCATGTGATCTAGCCATGGATTTCTGTTTCTTTCTTCTTCCAAATACTTTAAATGCTTTAGGACAGTGACAAAATTGTCATTCCTTTTCTTAGGAAAACTTTGCCTTGGATTAAGCCAGTTTGTGAATCACCTCATCTGTTGAAAGGCCTTAGTCTCATAGTCAATAAGCTGGTTCTGATAATTAAATGATGGAATTCTGTAAGACATCAAATTGTTTAGACTTTTTTTTTTCTGGTTTCATTAGTATTTTTATCTTAAAGTGAGGTAGGGATATAAATACTTTAAAACTTTAATTATGGCGCATAGTAACCTACAAAAAATTATTCTAATTGAAATCTACCACAATTAAAGGCACAGAACAAGCAGTTTGCTGGTTAAAAATTGAAGCCATTCATTTTTTTTTTTTTTTTTCCAGTATCAGGAATCGAACTCATGACCTCACGCTTGCCAGACAGGCGCTGTGCCACTGAGCTAAATCCCCAGTCCCAAAGCCATTCGGTTTTTCATGAGAACTCATTAACTGCTGTGTTTCTACCACTGTTAACGTGCTATCATTTTCTTTCCAATCATCCTGATGAAAGCCATGAAGCCAGCTTCTGTTCTCTTGGCCTTGTCATTTACCAAGTCGTATTCATTCAGGACATTAGTAGATCTGAGGCTGAGATTTCTAGAATCTCATAGTTAGTTTTCGTGCTTCAGTTTCTCTCCCTTCACCTATACTCTTGTGAGAATAGCATTTTTCATGTTTGATCATCTTACTCCTGTGCTTAAAAATACTTGGGAGCTCTCACTGATCACAGCAGCGAATACAGAGTTTGGAGCATGGCATGTGGGCTTCCTTTCTCTGTCTGCCTTTTGATTCTTTCTTCCCAGGACACCCCGCACCGTCCGTCATAGGTATCTGGAATTGCATCGCTTGTGTACCATCCTTGAAAGGATTGAAGTCATTTTCTGTCTTCTGTGATTCAAATGAACAACCTTAGCTGAGAAGGGCTCTTAGTAATTTGTTTTCATGTTTCATTCTCCCACTAGATTGTAAGCCCCTTAAAAGCAAAATACGTATTGTGATTACTGCTCCATTTCACATGGTATTTGTAGGTAATAACAATCCTGCAAGTACTTTTATAAGAGTATGGCGTTACTAAATTCCTTCTGTAATCACAGACTGAGGCGCCCTGTCAGTTTGTTACCAGGTCAGTTTTCCTTTGCCTGCACTGAAACTGTCTTTCCACATAGGAAGGGCAGTGAGTAAACCGAGTGCAAACTGGTTTTTCTGGTGACAGTGAGTCATGAATCTGAGGGACTCTATTATTAAGAAGTCATATTGTGTTAGAGTTAGTGTGCTTTCAGTACAACTGTTGGCAGTCCTTGCATAATCATATATGTTTAACTTTCCTGCTTATAAGGTTTGTATTTGTGCTGATTAAAAAATACTAATTGATAAGAAAGTGAACTGTAGGAGCCAGAAATGGCCTACCTTTAACAAGATACGAAGTTAATGTTTAAAGGATGTGTAAATAGCACTTTGGTATTACAGCATGAATACTTTTTAAGATGACATCAGCCTCTTCAGTTCTTACATCATGACATTTTGTCTGGGCATTGGTTTGATAAGAGCTAAGAGTTTTCAGATGCTTGGTATCCCTGTGAGTGGGGCATGCAAAATAATCCTTCTGACATTATTAGTAAAGTAATAATAGGTTGTCCCTTCATGCTATGTCAAATTACTACCACTGAGAAACCAAGTCAGTGTGAAAATGCCTTGTAGGATTTTCCTCGAGAATGAGTCTATATATACATTAATTTAAAATTAATTTGG